CTGCCCATGCCCACACACCTGCCCCAGGACGACAGGCTGCGAAATAGGTGAAAGGTGGAGAACAGAGATGGAAAGAAGTAGGGCGGTGCCCTAGAAACTGTAGAACCCAAACTGAAGGAGTCCTGATGCCCCAGTGAGGCCCCCATATCCTGTCAGGGCACCCCAGTCCCACCAGGGCTGCCTCCACAGCTGGAAGTAGTCATCCACAACTACTTACCACCTCCCCGAGGGGCAGGGACTGGGTCTACACCATGTCCCCAGCATCTGCACCAGCAGGACACAAGTACTTGCTGATAGTGACTGGATGATGGCCCCTCCCTCTTGACACCAGAGAGCCCGTGTGAGGGCCGCAGCTTGGAGTAAGTCTGGGCCTCCCTTGTGATTCTCCACACTCTTGGTTCCTAGGTGCAACCACCTGGGATCCGTCCTGGGGACAGGCCCACTCTGCTGGTCCTCAGAGAACTCTTCTAGCAAGTCCCAGCTCCTTCCCAAAGACCTCAGCTCTGTGCTGCTGCGTCCTCTGGTCTCCGTCACCACCCCGGCCCTTCCTCCAAGGGTGCAGTTCCTAAGTGAAATCTGATGCTGTCTCCTGTGTCCTTTCTTCTTTCAGCACACCTCTCCCTGCCCTCAGCACCTGCATCCGCAGTCAGGTGCGTACCTCGTCCATTTCCAGGTATGTGTCTCTGCTGTATTGTACACCCCTCCCTGGAGTGTGTGTTGCTCTGCTCCTGGCCTCTCAGAAGCCTGCCCAGCCTTCAGGAGCCAGCCCCTCCAGGCAGCCCTCCCGGTTGCCCTGTCCTGAGGTCGCTGTCCCCAGCAACGGTCAGCATCACCCTAGAGGATGCTGTCTTTCCACCGTGATGAGCAGGACTTAAGAGGTGACGATGTATGGTGACACTTTTCCTTTGAGATTTCCCTACCCCAGAACTAGCCTGTTACAGACTGATAAGAGATTGGATATTAGGTTTAAATGAGGAACTTGCACAAAGCCAAGGTTTCCCTGCCAGCTCCTAACACACAATGCTAGAGGGCTGCAAAGGGGCTTCTATATAAATTATGAAGAACAGTGATGACTTCAACTTTAAGTTCAAGAAATCAAGAATTCTAATAAGGAGAGTTTGTTCCTCAAAATGTGTATTTGATGTCCTGACCCTGAGTGGGCTGTATTGGAGAAGACAGGGTCTGCAGGAGGGAGTGGAGGTTACATCAGTCATGAGCGTGGGACTCTGCTGCCTCAGGGCCGGTGTCTCTGTGAGAGAGCCCAGAGCACTCTCTCTGCCCTGGCTGTGCGAGGACACAGCAAGAAGGCGGCTACAAGCCAGGAAGAGCGCTCTCACCAGACATGGGGTTGGCCGCGCCCTGATCTTGGACTTCCACCCTCCAGAATTCTGAGCAATAAATTTTTGTTGTTGAGGCTGCCCAGTCTGTTCTAAGTTGTTATGCCAGTCTGAGCTGACTAATACATGGGATGTCATGCAACCTTTTCTGAGATACATAGGACGCTAGTTCCCATATTCTTTGCAACACATGGGCAGCCAGAACAGCTCAAATCTTAAACTGGATTAACACCACCACTATCGTAACAGTAACAACAGGCATCCTGTACACAGTGTCTGTGATGGACCTGATACTCTAAGGGTTTTCCCTGCACTACACCATCTACTTTTCATATTCACCCCAAAATGGTCTCTTATGTATTAGCCTGTTTACAAAGGAACAGAGACCCAGAAGTCACACAACTCATACATGTCACTGTGCTGAGGCCGAGCCAGGACAGCAAACCACACCCCTGTGTGTGGAGCAGCACCTGCCACAAGCCCCAGAGGACTCCTCCCTCACTGCGCGCAGACAGGGACCTGCTCCCACGCAGCTGCAGCTGAGGAGTCTCACTCCTTCCTCGGCTCGCAACCACCTTCTCCAGCCCTTCATCATCTGGCCCCCATCCTATGCTGCCTGGTCCCCTACCCCACCACCTTCCAATGACTGGTCATCACCCAGTGCATCTCCTGCTCTCACTCTGTCTCCTACAGACTAGATAGCAGTCAGACTTATCTCTTAAAAGTACAAATCATCAGCAGTCTACTTCATCGACCTGCCTGTTCTGCTCCCCAGTCTGTCTCTGGTGAAGCTTCTCACCACCCCTGCACCTCTGGCCTGTACCCCAGTTCTGTATGCATAAGTAAATAAATAAATCTTTTTTCTTTTAAATTTTTTTTATTTATTCGTACAGAACTGGGGTACAGGCCAGAGATGTGGAGGATGAGAGGATTCACCAGAGACAGAGTGGGGAGCAGAACAGGCAGATGGACAAAGTACACTGCTGAGGGGAGCAGCGGGCGGGCCAGGAGAGGTCTGCCACGCCATGTGGTCACCTCCGGGGCAGGCGGGGATCGAACTCATGTGGAAGTGGCTTAAGCTTCTTTGTGCTGTGCTTTAACCCGCTGTGCCACCAGGGAGGGCCAAAGAAATCTTTAAAAAAATATACACAAAATGATGTAAAAATAAACTGTTATAAAATTAAAAAAAAAAAAGTACAAACCAGATCATGTCATGCTCCTGCTTCCAATGCTCCACTGCTGTCCCATTAAATTTCTACTCAAATATCTACTCCTAACTTTCACTTATAAAGCTCTGTGTGATTGTCATGCTCACCTCTTATCCCTGCTCCCCCAGATGCCATGTCAGTCCTTTGCCCATTCCCAGTTAGTTTCTGCCTCAAGGCCTTCATCCTTACTGTTCCCTCTGCCCAGAAGAGGTTTCCACCCAGATCTTCCCAGGGCAGAGTCTTGTCTAAGCTCAGATTTGAGCTCAGAGAAGCCCTCCAATCACATTCTACCACACTGCTCTCTTTTAATGCACTGGAGTCCTCACTCTACTTAATGCTATTTTATATTTGTCTGTTTATTCTCTCTCTCTCTATTCCCCCTAGAAAATAATCTCCATGACCATGAGGACTTTGTCTAACTTGGTACTACCAGCAGATGGAATAGGGCCTGCACACAATAAGCCCTCTACTATTAGCAGAGTAAATAAACGACACAATCTTCTCGAGAATGGATGAAGAAAATCCTTCAAAAGTTCATCACTCAGTGCACCCTCTCCTCCCAGGAACAAGAGGAGGAAAGTGTTCCTCATCTCACTATGCAAGCCATGACCAAGCTATCAGTCAATGATTTCAAAAGGAAATTTCCTCAACACCAGCCCAGTGCTCCAGAGGGTCATGAGATATGGCATGGCAAGAGTATCTAGAAGAACATCCCCTCATTCTCGTATGCAGCTGAGTGCCACTGCTGCCTGGGGCGTCATTATTGCCTAGGAAATGGCTCTCCAAGGAGCAGCTGGCCTTAACCCTTCAGCATCCACAGGCAGAACTCTGTCTTTGTGACAGAGACCCCAGACTTTTCTAGGGGAATGAGCTAAGGCTGAATATTTACAGCATTTGTGGGGGCTATGGGGCAAAGGTCATGAAATATAATTCCACCTCCTTAGGTACTTCTCTGGACAGACTACCTACGCTGGTGTCTCGTCAGGGCCTATGGAGGACTTAACAGGAGCTGGCACACCAGTGCCCACCCCACTCTGAAGCCCTGGCTACCTCTACACTGTTTTCAACCCTTCATTGTTAATCCACATTCCTCAGTCTAGTGACAGAGTAGGGGGATAAAAATGACCTTAGTTGAAATCCTGGCTTTCCCACATCTTAACTGGTTATACTAACCTCTTTGCACTTATGAAACACCACCTTTAGGATGCAACTGAAAATGCTCTTGTCAAGGCTGCCAATGGCCTCTGTGTGGCCAAATCCATATCCACTTCTTTCACTTTTCCATATATTATAGTCCTTTTAATTCCACTGCCCCACCCAATCCCCAGTCTTCTATCCCATTAGTTTCTCCCAGAATCTGTTACTTTCTGAAATTTCTTTATTTATTTGATCATTACTTGATTTGTGGCTCCCCCACTCAATGTAATCTCAAGTGGGAAGGTTATTTTCTGTTTTGTTCACTACAATAACTCCAGGTTTAAAATAGTGATTGGCACTTTGTGGCACAATAGTGATTGGCCAGTAACTTGAGGAGAGGTCCCAAGTGAAAACTAGAGTGAAAACGAAAGAGGAATATATGGTATCTTAGCGACAGCATCTTTAACTTAGGAGGGCAGAAAAGGGAAATCCCATGACAATAAATATGAAGCAATCAGTCTATGCTGGAGCAGGAATAGGAATAAAAATCTGGATGGGTTTCTGGCAGAGTTAAAAAAATAAAAGTAGGTTCCATGCAATAGAAAGTAAAACTGAGTTGCCAAATAATTTTGAGTGGAAGGCACATTATTCTTTGGTAAAAAAAGAAGACCAAAGGCAATTAGAAACTCCAAGAAAAACAAAAAAAAGTTAATTTTAGACACCTTAGATTCACTATTAAATAACTTAATATGTAACACAACTTACAACAATCAGTGCAGTATGAGAAAAGGAGAAAATCAATTTGATCAAGCATCCATAACTCATGCTTGAGTGGCTAGGATTAAGAGTATACCAACTGAATAGCAAGTGCAATACTAGCATACAATTTGGCCATGGGGAGAATTAGATCATTGAGGACCTAAAACATGTTCTATAAGGTTCAAAAAACTTTGACTATAGCATTTAACCCTCCAGCTCCTAAGATAGATATTATCATTAATCCTATTTTACAGATGAAGAAGATGAGGCTTGACATATTAAACAATTTTTTTGACACCACATAGCTAATGGAAAAGCTGAACTCACCCCCAGGCCTGTGAGTCCCAGAGGTCTAATTCCCAAAGCTGGCTCTAAAAGACAGGCCATTTAACCCATCCTTCTTGCCAATAAGTACAGGATACCATGTGCACACCTGTGTACAGGTGTATGTATGCACACACACAGTCATAATTCTGAGAACCATAATACAAAAACCACAGGGCAGCAGAGCTGGTTCAGGCTGGGGAGCCAGAGTGACAGGGCCAGAGCAGGGTCTTACCTTCCTGCAGTCTTTGCAGAACACTGATGAGCTGCCCAAGAAGCCCAGCACTTCCCCACAGAGTAGACACTGGGAGAGGCCATTCCCCATCACGTTGCGCCTCATGGTCTCCAGCCGCTCTACCAGCCGCCTGCAGCACAGGACTCTGAGTCAGAAGGAATGTATTTCCGGTCTATGACCCAACCACTGCCCGACAAGATTGCTATGGGCCCCAACACCATACCCCATATGTTGTTCCCTCATCTAGATTACTGTTCCCTGTGTCTGTTGGGAACAGTGATGTGAAGTTACTTGACCCTCTTTGAGGAGCTGGAGGGACATAGCACTGGCACGCCCATTAGCAGCATGTGCACACTCAGGTGCTGCAGAATCCTGGGCATAGGTGTGTGAGGAGGGAGGGCCAAAGTAGGTTAGGTGAGAGAAATGGCAAGCTACAAATAGTCTGCTTGGTATAAACCCTTTTGATAAAATGATAGTAATAAGCCATACTATTGAGGTGCATACAACAAATTGTTTGAACACAGTGATCTCTGCACTGGTACATTCACTTTCTAGAACTGTACATTTCCACACATCTCACTTGTTAAAAATGGTCACATAATTTTTTAATAGAAAAAGAACAAGGAGAATCACATTAATTCCTGTTCAATACAACGCAATGCATTTGAGTTTTCCTACTTATGTCTTACAGACTTTTTATCAGGTATGAAATACTTTTATAATTAAAGAAAGACACAACACAACTGTCTGATGACTCTGTGGCACTCAGGTCTGAATGAGGGAGGCCAGAAGTGCTTTGAACAAGCTGGAGAACAGTCTAGTTGGGATTTTTGAAGTGAAGATCTGCGTTTCAGTCTCAACCTAAATTTCTCCCCTTGAGAATCATAGGTGACAAAACTGAACAGAGCTGACACTCCCAGGGGCGAGCCACCAGCACCAGGACCCAGGGCACCAGACTCCTCGCCCTTGGATCTGGTTCTTGTTTCCACTGGCTCCTACCCAACCTAGGGAGCAGACCTTACCCAATCCTCTGCTGCTCCATGATGTCCAGCCGCTCGGCCCTCTGGATGACCTGCAGGATGGCCTCTACCTCGGCTGGGCTAAGGCACTGGCTCTTCCTCTGCTTCTCTGTCTGGTAGGTGTGCACAGACCAGCCTGTCTGCAGCCTCAAGAGATAATAGCACAAGTGGTGTTGAGGTCAATGCAAACCCCCTCATGCCCACAAAGCTCTCCTGAGAGGCATTTGACATAGCCCAGATGCTGTGTATGTATCAGGGGTGAGGGTGCAGGAATAGACAGTGCAGAAACCAGGCTCAAAATGCTGGCCACCGCCACCTTAGCACCTCGGAGAGTGGCAGCACAGACTGCGACAGCCGTTCAAATGAAGGAGGCCCCTGCCGTGGTGTGTGAGGTTAAGGAAGGAGCACAGAGGTTATTAAGAGGATGAAAACCTTGATCTAAAAGCTATCAGTGAGATGAAGTTTACAACAGGATAGGAAAGAATGGTAACTGGATTTAAAATGAGCCCTGAAGGTAAAAGGAGATGCATGCAGCATTTTGAAAATTGTTGGAGGTCCACGGAGCCACTGGAGAGGGGGACAGAGAGGCAGGCTCGGCAGTGGGGCCTCAGCAGCAGTTGAAGAACTCAAACCCTTTCTATTTTCTGGATGAGTAGAGCGTGGCAGCAGTAGATCAGGCCCCAAATTCCCTGGCCTGGGCCTCTGAGACACTCTATGAAGTGCTTTGTATACAGCAAATGCTCAATTGCATAATAAGTGGTTGTTGATGATCACCAAAATGTTAGCATAAACTCTATGCCAAGAGCTGGCTCTACAGAGATGGACAAGAAGGCAAAGCCAAAGCCTTGAAAGATGACACTACGGTGGTGGAGAGAGAGGCCCCCATCAAATTATATAAGGATTTATTGGATGAAAAATTGTAAGAACGACTCTTCTGACTCATACTTATTGAATATCCATTGTAACACCACTTGTTAGGCGCTGGGGACATGCTCCTGGATGATCGAAGCAGGTGGGTGTCAGCAGGATATGCAGTTAGATAAGAGAACTAACCTAGTTATGAGCTGTGATTCCAGAAGGGTTTCCCTAACGAGGTGACAGTGGACAGAGCCCTTGATGCAGGGCACAGGACAGGAGGGTGCGGGGTATGGATACCATCCTGGTGGTCTCATGCCGCCACCCATCTGGGCTACCGCAGCCAGTGGTTGCCCACCATGTAAGTCAGGAGAGAGCAAAAACAGGGCTTGGTAGTTTCACCCTAAGTTCTTTGCAGCAAGCAATTTTGGCCTAGCTAGTTGACCACAAGGCAATTTTGCTGTAAAAAAGATAAAAATCATGAAAAAGAGGGCTGTTAATTTAAAAGGACATGGTGAAACCTCTTCTCTTTGCCAATCTTTCTGCCTTCATAGGAGAGGAATCCGTTTCCACTCCATAGGCTGCATCCTCAGGACTGAGTGCAGCATCCTGTGGCGAAGCTTCTCTGCCATGTAGCTGGGGCACGCACCTGGGCTCCACTAAGGTGTCAGTCACACACCAGAGCCTTTTATTTCCCCAAGTCATCTAAGCCAGGTTCGGTGCCAAATGTCAAAATTCCATTGACAGAAGGTCCACTCTCAAGGAGCAAAGTGTTTTCACGAAACTCATACTCATTAGCCATCAAGTCACCATTTCCTTCTCGGGGGAGAGGACAAGCTTGACTCTTCTTTTCTGTCTCCAACTTTTAATCTCACACAAAAGTCTAATAAAGACAGGAGCAGTTGTGTCTAAGTTAGCGGAATAACTGATCATTTATGCTTTTGGAGACTGCTGAGAACTGATTAGACCTCCTTTATATTTGCTATGGCTCAGTCAACTCTGGGTTCTGACAGGAGGGAGGGATGGCTGTGAGTCCCTGAGGGACTTGCAAACTGATACGTTATCATTTTCTAGGATAGTGTGCAATTGGACTTTACACTCTCCTATTTCACACATCCAACATGCTTTATCGACATATTTTTATAGTATAAAAAATGGGAGGACTAAGTCAGTTGAAACAAAATTTGAAATCAAACTGTCAAGCCAAACTTTCAGCCAGGTATTTTATCTTTTACAGCAAAATTGCCACGCAGCCAGTGAGTTATACTGCAACAATGCTTATGGCAAAGAACTTAGGGCGACTCTACCATGGCCACTGAAAAGCACAGTGTCTCTCTGTAAGCACAGCAGGCTGGTGAAAGACTCAGACTTTGGATTCTACCAGACAGACTTATTTTCATGGTTCCATGCCTGTCCAGGTGGTAGAACTTGGACACCTGTTAAATCCTTGACTTCCTGATATGTCTCTTTTAGGGGTGCGCTGAAGACGAAATGAGACAGGCACATAAAGTACTCTGTATACAAATGCTCAATTGCTCAGTAAGTGGGTGCTGATGATCACCATAATTCTCACCGGTAGGACTCAGGGATGGTGGTGTTTGCACAGGTTTTGCAGGATGAATAGGTGTTCTCCCATGGACGGGGAGATGGAGTTTAGGACGAGGACACCACAGGTGCAAAGGCATGAGGGCTCAGAGTAATGCGCTGCTTTGGGGGGGGGGAACGGGAGGGGTGTCAGACTTCCAGACTGCCTATTTTTCCAACTGAAAAAAATGCATTGTCCTAGGCCAACAGTTTTAAGTGCTCCTCATGGGCTGGAAAACAGTGGGAGTGGAAGAGAGAGGAAGCAGGGGGGCAGGGGTCAGTCCTCAGAGGGCACAGGCACACGCCCATGTTTCCTGTGTGCTGGGCATACTCAAGCCTTGAGCAAAGGCACTGCCAGCCCCAACTGTGGTTTCCTCTGTGAGCATTTCAGATACTAAGGTGCTCAGGTTTAGAGACTTGGTCAGGACACCCTCTGTGTATGGTGCCCTAGGCCAGGGAAGGGGAATTAGAAAACCGGGCCTCTACTTCCTATGGGAAAAAGGAACTCAGTGGTGGGAGGGCACAGTCTGGTACCACCACTGTCCAGGAGGGCAAAGCTCCTCCAGGCTCTCTCTGGGCACCATGTCCTGCAAAGCATCCTGCAAGGCAGCTCCCCACCCCAGAGGAGAAAGAGGCAGGGCACTGTTAGATGGCTCTCTCATGCAAGTCAGACCTCAGCTGCCCATCAGGCCTGGGGAGGTGACCCCCGGCAGCTGCCAACAGCCCCGCCAGGCTTCCGCGGGCACATTCCACACCGCTTTGGTTTCCATCTGATCATCCACCAAGCCCGACAACTTACATCTTCGCATTGGCTCTCTTCCTCCAGCTCACCACCCCTGTCCAGATGGGCCCTGAGACCCACTTAGAGTCAAGTGGTTGCCACTGAGGATCTCACCCCTTCATATAACTCCAGGTTGCCAGAGGAGACAGGGCGGCACGTTCCCCTCAACCTGCCTCAGGGAAGAAGCTTCAGGGGAGTCCATAGCCTGTTGCCGCACACCCAAAGGATGCCCTCGTCTCTGGGCTCACAGGCTGTGTCACCAACACGCTGCTCCTTGGGTTCTGGGCCTTTGCTCACACTGTGCCTTCCACCTAGAGTGCCCGCTCTTAGCCTCCTCCCCTGAAACTCTGCTCCAGGGGGCTCACCCTGTTCTTCTTTAGGATGTCTTTCAGACATGATCTTCACCAGGAGGTTTTTCCTTGATCTCTTCCAGGATGGGTTCAGAGTCATTGTCGGGGCTTCCACAAGGCCCCAGGCATAGCTCCATCACTGGGCTTGAACATAACCTCAAGACAAGGTGGGTCTCTCTGTCTCCCCCTGCAGAATTGTAGTCTCTGGGTGACCTGGCCCTGCCCCATCTGACTCCTGCCCACCCCGACCTCTCCATTTTGCTTTCACACCAATACCCCCCACCCTGCCCCCACTCTCTGCATTCAAGCCACAGCTACCACTTGTCAGGTTCTCTACATGTCAAGTTCCTTCCACCTCAGGGCCTTTGCACTCGTTATTCTGTCCACCTAACTCCATCTAACATCTACATGGCTCCTCCAGGACCTATCACCAACATCGCACTCTCAGGAAAGCCTCTCCAAATGCTCAGCTCCTCCAAATCCTGCCAGCCCCACTGCTTGCTTGCCCTGTCAGAGCAGCCGCACTCGGGTCATTATGTGCCTAGTGCTCACCTCTCCCCATTAGCGCTTTAAGGGACCATGCTGGTCTTGTTTACTGCTGGGTAACCTATATGTGGCACATAGTAGGAGCTAGAAAATGCCGGTGGATGTGAGGACAGACCTAAGCTGGAGCTAGGGAAGGTAATTTTCCCAGACTTTGCAGAAGGACCCTAGGGCACAGCACCCCGCTGCGGGGATTTGTAGCACTCTCCTTTACAAACTCTGGCATCACAAGGAACCTGGCATTACAAGGCAGCATGCCCCAGGGGAGAAGATAAAAGCACTTGCTCTTCTAAAAGGTGCAACAACAGTTTTTGGCTGCTGCTGAGAAATAAAGGGAAGGTTGGAGGGGCACCCGGGTCACAGCAGCCCTCGCAGGAAGCGTCACTCTCCCCAGCCCTTGCCTCCTGCCCGGAGGACACATCATCCTGCTTGGTGTCAGAGGACAGAGGGAGGGGGCTGGTTTCAGCCCTAGTCTCACCCCCTGTGGGGGCTGTGCAGGGGCTAGATAGGGGAGCTGAAAGCAGTTGAGCCATCCAGCGAGAGGGCCAAATTATCTGTTGTGCAAAGATCCCTGCAAATCATGCATGACTCTGCTCTTCTTGGGCACTTCAGATTAATTTTTCTATCCCCCTTTGATGTTTTAGCTCTGTCCCCCTGCAGGCTCATAACATCTAATTGCAAATTTCTTGAATTTGGTCCCATCTGGGAAATGCTGGCTCTAGTAATTGGCACAGGTTGACAGATGAAGGGGCAATCCTAGGCTCACCAGACACCACCAGAAACCCACAATTCCCTTGGAGGGGTAGGGAAGACTGGAAGGCGGGAGTGGCAACTGGGACCTCCTGCTCTCCAGACACAGGTGGGGGGTTGGTGGGTGGAGGCATGACCTAACTGGAAGTGAAGGGTCACCAGGCTGAGGAGTGACAGGAAAGCTGGGACCACAGAAGACAAACCAGAACCAGAGACCCTGACAGGAGCGACCCTGATAGCAGCAGGGCAGGGAACTGGGGTGCCTCAGGGCTGGCTGTGTGTTTCAGCCTAGGGGACAGGGCTTCATTCACGTGAAAGCCTTTGTCTGTCTAGTCTGTGAGGGCCAAGCAACCAACCATGAAGTGGATGCCTAGAGATCAAAGCTCCCCACCTCCATGGGCTCAGAGACAAGGCTCAGTGACAGGGAGACTTACACTCTTAGCAGATAAGGGAGGGAGGTAGACGGCTTCCTCCAGCCTGTGGCAGGGGCATGCAAGTGAGGACCTGAGCTGGCCCCAGCCCAGCCATTCCCAGGGTAAGTGACTGGCACAAGGAGCCTAACTTCTTTGCCTCACCGAAGAAGTGGGGATAAATTCCACATGGTGGTTAAGTGAAAAAGGCTGCCAAGTGCCCAGTCCAGGGCCTGGTGGGTGGTATACATTAGACAGATGCTTGTCTCCATATTTCTCTAGCTGGGTCCCCGGGGGTGAATCTTGCCAAAGAAAGGAGGGCAGCAGGGAGGGAGGAGGGCAGGCCTGGCAGGACCACAGAGGTACTCACTTGGCTCGGAGGGCAAGCTGCCTGTCATTGGGGCAAACCCACTGGTCACTCCCACTGCCGAAGATGGTGTCGGCCATGGCTCAAACTGCCCGGCCAGGGTACGGAATCGCATCTGAAGTGAAGAGAGGGAAAAGAAAGCACATCATTGGCTGGGGCACAGATGGCAGACAGGGTCCCTCGGGCACAAGTGCTTGGCACTTCCAACCTACTCCATACGTTGTCTCCCACTGATGCCTGGAATCTCACCGTCAGAATCATTCCTCCAGCTAAATACCATCCTTGTGAAGAGGCTCAAAATCCTGAGCGGGATAACGAGGTGGATCATGGGGCTGGAGACAAGATTGGATATGACTGGCAAGGCATCAAAGGGTTAGAATCACAAGGAGGAGACACACCTCAGCAATTTTCAACTTAGCTGGCAAGCCAGAGAGGGCATCTGATCTCTGCGCCTTCCAAGTACAGCCTGTGCTATACTTAGCACATTGTCTGGCAGGAGGGGCCTGGGCCAGGAGGCAGCTGGCTAGACAGCCTGGGCAAACCCAATACAGCTCCAAACCTGGGGACCCACATGGTGGCCCTAGGCACATGGATGCAGCCTTCATGGGCCCTGGTCCCCAACCACTGTGCTTCTGGAGTGGGAAGGAGGGAAGGGAGTGGCAGCTGCAGCCAGGACCACCATCCTATACAACTGCCAGGGCCACCATCCTATACAACTGCCAGGACCACCATCCTATACAACTGCCAGGGCCACCATCC